ACACGATCATTGCAAATCTTGCTCCAGTGCTGGCACAATCCATTCCAAATTATTCAAAAAAAAAAACGGAAAAAATATTTAAGATATTAAACCATTAATGAAATTCAGTAGAAAACTTCAATCTTGTTTACCGTACACTGGCACTTAAACGACTCGCAGTCATCTGAAAATACAGTCAACATCAGTCATCATTATTATGTGTGTACAAGCGACGAGAGACCGTTGAACAGACGAAAAGCCTTCAGGTCAGCGTGTCACGGGACGAAACTCAGATGTAGTAATTTGAGTTCACATTTGTTCTAGTTAGTTTCGTATTATACTCAGTTTCCTTGGAGCAAGGGAGACGTAGAACGCGGTAGAACAGCAACGTTACTCCAATATGACTAGATGCCTGCGATCGAATCAGATATCGCAATTTGTTTCAAAGCAGGATAACTCATTTGGTGTGCGGCTGAACAGTCAAGGCCACTTCCCTAACCGGATGGCTATGATCAGCAATCAACATTTTATAATAATCTACTAGAGCCTCGCCGGCCGATCGTTTTAGGGTTTAAGACAGGCCTATAAGGTCACAGTAAAGACTAAAAGGCAACAAACCCCACCGCACTTCACCCTACTGAACAATACCTTACTTGGCTCTGATAGACAAGGACACAAGACTGGTTTCTAGGGAGTACCAATAGAAACAGTGACTGAAAAGAATCAGAGACTCACCATACCGCTGTACTAGCCAAAAAATTATGCAGGTGACGCTTGTCAGGTTTATTTGGACAGGCTTAACCACGCACTGAGCAAACAGGCTGATTCTACTACTGCTATTTATTTTCGATTACAGCGAACTGTTCGCAGCGTTTCGACAACGAATTCTGTTCTATATTTAGGCGAACGACAAAATGAAAAACTCTGGACAACGTAGTTACATTGCATTTTCTAAGCCTTGAAAATCAAAGCTGCGAAAAGGGCGTTCGTTTCTTTCCATGTTTTGATATCGTTTATTGAACCTGAATTGCTGTACGCAGTTCCCAAGGATAACCTAGTAAAATTTTTTCAAAAGTGAATCGAAAGTTAGATCGTTTGGATTGTCTCCATGGATAGACGTACTGCTGGGCAGTTAAGCATTGTTAAGAATATGATATTCTTAGCATGCTTCCTCTTTGAATCGGAAGTTTTAGAATACTGCTTTCACATGTCTTTTCTACTGTTCTTCAATGCGTTATAATCGAACATCAGCCAGAACGATTTCCACAGAAACATGAGCTAAATTGCGTATACATATTTGCATATGTGCATATGAATGTCTGAAAACTTCGGGCCCTACTCATAAAAACATTAGTGCTTCGAACTTTACCCTCATCCAGTTTTCTGGTCTATTCATGTGCCAGTGCTAAGGACAAAACATGAACCGAAACTCGAAAGGCACACTGTACTGTAGCTTTTCAAGGATGGCACAGACTTAAGTTGATCAGTCGGTAGAGCGTCAGACTCAAGTCATGAAACCCTGGAATGGAACCCTGAAGGAATCACTTGAACTTGAGTTTCATCCGTTAGATGTAAACAGGCGAATATATCATTGTGGGAAGGAAACAAAAGACTACACGCTAAGGGTTACATAGCCGTAGATACAGCCTTAAAATAACAACTCACGTCCTTGATAATAAAATAAAGAAGATTAGCTCCAAGTCATAAACTTAATGAAATAACGGTGCAGCAAATTATGACAACGTTAATTATGACAGAGTCGCAACGGATTCATACTTGTCACGTTGATTTTTCTCACCTTTTCAAAGGAGTGACACTGGAATTTTTGACCAGCTTCGTATCGCAACCAGTGTAGACGACGACGCCAAAGATCCAGCGAGTATTTTTCAACTGAGCACCCCTCAGCAATACCTGATCCGGGCCAAGAGGGCAAGATTCTCCGCTGGTCGGAATTAATGTGCCTGTAAACTCGTACAAGTGAGGATTCGGTGCTTCGCATTCGATCAAGGCGCTGAAAGAGTACAGATCGTCCCGCGTAAGCAAATTCTTTGTGACAAAGCATCCCTAGAAAAGAGCCGCACTGATTAACAGATATTGGAAAAGCGTCCAGTTAAAAGTTGGTCGGTTCTCTTACTTGCCGAATCTTCAAGTT